CTTGCCTTGTGTGCGTGCTCGACATCGATGGCATTTAATTCTCTGCAACGGCTGTGGTCTAGTGCTCGGGCCTCCTTGTTTGCGACGTTGGTTCGTTCGTGGCCTGCCCCACCCCTCCCCCCTCTCAGGCCGTGGCCTTCTCCCCGTGGCCACGCCTACCGAACCCCTGCCCCCACCCCCATCCTTCTGGCCTCAGTCATTCAGTGCTCCCGTCTTTTGCATGGTTGTGTCTGTCCTAGAACCCGGGTTCTTGCCATGCCATTGTACGGTTTGGTTCTAGAGCTCGGACCTCTTTGCAGATTCGTCGTCCGTTCGTGGTTTGCCCCACCTCCCCCGTGCGCCACCTCAGGTCGTGGCCTTCTGCCCCCCCTGGTCCAGGGCCACGCCTACCTGTTCCCCGTCCCCCCCGCCCCCCCCCCATCCCCCTAGCCAGGCCGCCCCCAGCGCAACTGTCTCTTGCACAGCTGTTTTCTAGAGCTCGGATATCTTGTCATTCCCTTGCGCAGCTATGTCCAAGAGCTCGGACCTCCTTGTTTCCGTCATTCGTTCGTGGCCTGCACCCCGCCCCCTCCTCTTTGCCCCCCCCCTCCCCCCCTACCCCGCCCCACACAGGCCGTGGCCGTCTCCCCCTTGGTCCAGGGCCATGCCTACCTGCCCCCCCTCCCCACCCCCGTCCCTCTGGCCGAGGTCGCCCCCCTTCCCCAGTGCTCCCTTCTCTTGCACAGCTGCGCTCTAGGGCTCGGACCTCGTGAGTTCCGTCGTTCGCTCGTTCGTTCGTTCGTGTCGTACCCTCCCTCAGGCAGGCCCTCTGCCCCTACACAGGGGCCGTAGCCTTTCCCCCCTGGTCCAGGGCCAAGCCTACCTCCCCGTTCCCACCCTCCTCCCTCTGGCCTAGGACAGTCCACTGCTCCCTTGTCTTGCACAGCTGTATTCTAAGAGCCCGACTCTCATACAAATATTGCACAGTTGTATTCTAGAGTTCAGAGCACTTTGTGGTCGTCGCGGTTTGTTCGTTCGCTCGTCGGTCCACATTCCGCCCCCCCTGTCCCTGCCTCCGCATAGGGAACACTGGGATAGCCCGAAGAATTTCCACCTGCTCGTCTCCTAGCCCTCGCCTCCATCGTGCAAGAGCCATGGCATGCGTGCCACTTTTTGGCATTGGTTGGTGGCTTTTCGAGCGCGCACTTAACACTCCCCATCTCCCATGCAGATCACCGGACGAGTGCCGCCACCTGCACGTATACATTGAGAAGAAGGTATCTCTCAAATAAATTGGGTGTGCGCAATTATTTGGTTAGCGAGCGCTGATTTGTGTTAAGGCGGGCGCACTTGCAAGCACGATTGCGACCTTGTGCGCAATCAGTAGACTTCGCACGCACATGGCAGTGTCATGTTACATGTGCCTTCTGCCTGGAGGTCAAGGCCCGTTTCAATTTGAACACCGAGGAGGCGTGCTACGTCCTGACCCTCGACAGCCAGTCTCCATTGGACACTGGGGGAGGGCAGAACGTTGTAGCCCGGCCAGTGTTGCCTCTGGGGGGAGGGGGGAGGCAGGGGGGGTGGCGCATATAAGCAGCTAGACGTGTATGCGCAGGCATCTGGGCACCGATCCGTTCGCACAGTTGAGGTCGACGAAAGAGCAAGTGCCTCCGAGTGCCGTTGTTGGAGTTGTTGTGCCAGGTGTTCCTCAGAGTCGCCCCCGTGCATGCAGAGTCGAGTCGTTTGCCAGGCTGCCCACCTTGTGGGGTGAGAGGAAGCTGAGTGTGGACGAGGGTGACTGCGGGGCAAGCGGAGAGGGAGGAAGGGATTGAGGAGGGAGTAAGAAGGGAAGGGACAAGGGGTGGAGTGTCAGGGATAGCGGACCGTAGAAGAGCCAGGATATTCTTGGAAGGAGAGTTGGGCAGAGACAGTGTCCACGGGACCTTACCCCTGAAGCCATCGGCGTCTCCGTTCAGGCAGATGGGTGTGTGTGTGTGTTTGTGTGTGTCGGTGCACCTTGTGCACATTAATTGTCAAGGTTACCCCTGCGTCCATGCTTCTGTTTACCCATTTTCAGTCACAGGTCCTAGAGCTGTTGGCTTGTGTTTGCTGCAATTCTTTTCCGCCTGGACATCTAAGGGGGGTTGCATCCTACCTTACATCCTTACTACGGGTCTTGACTGTAGCTTCAGGCTTCAGAACGCGGAGCAGGAGCAGCGGGGGAGAACGTGCGGTAGATGGGAGGGAGCTGTCGGTCCCCGATATGGCCTACTTGCATGCTGCTACCACCTGCATGAGTGGCACGCGCTGGATGCTCAGAAGCCTCTGGACGTCGGACAGCGCCTCCTCGCACACACGACCACCTCGGACTCTACATCTGCCAGGGGGACCTGTCCCATCGGGGGAGGGAGATGCGACACCAACACCACCAGGGGGCCCACCTCCATTGAGGAGGTCCACGATGCCTCCCCGAGCTGGAGGCTGGGGATGTCTCGAGCGAGCGGGGGGACCACACCACCAGGGAGGCCCCCCTTGCTCCTCGCATATCCTCTCCCTGTTGATGTTGGTGTCGCCTTTCCTTGTTCCTGTCCCAGGGACCCGGTGACCACGACCACGATGTCAAGTGGAGTGCCCGGGGGGCCGGGCCCGCCTTTTTGGGGTCCAGGGAGAGCGCCACGGAGGGCGGTCCGACGGGCGCGTCACGGCGCCCCTCTGGTCGGTGGCCAACCGCCCGCAAGACGGCCTCGAGATGTCCCCCTGAGGCGTCCGAGACGCTGCAGGACTCCTCCAAGAGGTCCCTCGAGAGGGCCCCGACAAGCAAGCATCGTCCCATGCCTTTTTTGTGCAACATAGAAGTTTAGCAGATTCGCTATGTGTATCATCGTGCAGTCCTTTTGACGACCTCAGAGGCCCTCAAGATCGCCCCAAGACGGCCCTGGAGGCCCTCAGAGGGCCCTGGGCCCCAAGACGGCCCAAGATGGCCCCAAGTCGGTCAAAGAGGCGCCCGAGACGGCCCAATTGGGCCCCCAATGAGCCCCAAGAGGAGCCCACGATGGGGAACTCCAATTGTAATTTCGGGCATCCCGCCCCAACAGGACCCCAGAGGCCCCCATGAAGCCCCGAAGATGCCCCAAGAGGCCCCAAGACGCCCGCGAGAGGCCCCAAGGGGCCCCCCAAGAGGCCTCCCAGAGGCACCAGGAGGCCCCCAGGAAGCTCCCTGGAGACCCCCAAGAGGCCCCAGGAGGGCCTCTGAGAGACTTCCCAAGACACCTGGATGTACATCTACAAGAGGCCTCTGGTCCACAACCTAGGCCCTTTCCTCGGGCGCCGCCTGATCGGCACGCGCATGTAAGAGGAAAGAGAAATCACTTGACCTGGCGAAGGGCCCACCCCTGTGCAGCTGCGTGTAGCGCAGGGCGCGGCTCTCGCTTCACATACTGCGCGCCGCGAGGTGGACCAGATAGGAGGTCGCTGCGGAGCTGGCGCGCGTAGGCATGCTGAGCTCCCTTCGGGGCGCGATCCGCGTGAAGGGCGTGGCCGCCGAGCGAGCGCGCCCACTGAGGCCGTAGGTGGAGCTCCGTGTAGAGCAACGCTCGTGGGCATGGCGCGGGGGCTCCCCGGCCACTTGCAGATTTGGTGCTCGCGCTGTCAATGCTCTGCTTTTCTAGGGCTTTGCAGCGCCGTCCGCACCTTGCTTCTGCATGTTCGAGCTACGTAGCTGCCTGCACGCCCTCCTGTGCTCAGCTGCGTTCTTGCTCTTATGGACAATGGCCTGACGAACGCTTGCGAGGTCCCATCCAATGTGTGTAGCTGCGAACTTCGCAATGTCGCAGATCAGACGAGCGAAAGCGAGAGCCATAACTCGCGGCGCAGCTGCCACTAGAACCTAAGCGCGAATCGCGCGTGTGGTCCTCGTATCTACAATAAGCCAACTACCAGACGAACATGGATGTCGGATGTCACCAACCAGAAGCCAGGTGCCGGAAGAGTATTGTTGCCGCGAGCTGGGCAGACTACGGATGTCTCAAGCCCAATCGCAGACCCAATTACGTGAGTGTCGCACGCGGAAGGTTGCATGTCATGTCGGCACGCTGGCACTGCAGCGCTGGCCGCCGCGATAGTTATCACGGCTGCCTTGAGCATGCATCCCCTGCCAAGCTTCTATTGACTCGACGAGCGCGTTTCACGACTCGCGAAGTAACTACTCGCAAATGGCCTGGATCCCCCGCCGGGGATCTACGATCAATTACATCAAAGCAGACAGGTGTTTTTTTCCCGGACGTTTGCGAGTAGGCACTTTACGAGTAATGGAACGCGCTCGGCGATTGACACCTCAGTATGTAAATAGGTGTTCCAAATATTCACTCTTCTCGTGCATTGTATCGTGAAGCGATTTTCAGGACGGGGTGGACTGGGCCCTTAAAGCAATGCCTTGATCCATACCTCCACACGGGCCTTAAAGCCGTGCCGGGTCCACGAGGTGAAGAACAAGACATTTGAACCCAGACGTTTCCCGCCGAAGCCCAGGATGATATATGTAGGGCATGGGTGGTGGTAATTTCACAAATTTAAACTAGACTGCCAGCGCCGCCACCAAGTTCGTTCTGGCCACTATCTTGTTCACCACGTTTCCACCAAACATGTTGCACCCAGTGTGTCAAGGTATAGTCAACAAGGCCGAAGCCACAGAAAGTTCACAACATGTGTCTCCAATACCGCTGCCCACAATCAGCGTAATGTTGTAAGAGACGCAGTGTTCGTAGATATGCTTCGTCACTCCCTTCGTTGTAGTTTGTTCTGCGGGTCGTGCTCACCAGCTGTGTGAATACCAAGTAAGATATGCCAGCAGCAGCAGGTGTTGGCGAGAGTTGTGCCACAATCGACCAAGCCATCGCAGAGTTGTGGCAGCTCCTGTGGCGCTTTATCGTCTGATTACATGTGCTGGCGATGCTTGTGGCCAGGATTGCATATCCGTCGAAGCCGCTGTTCTTCTCCAGTGCAGTCGAAGGGGTGTTCTCCGGAGCCTTTTGGGGCTCAGGCCGTATTGAGCTCAAGCCCTACGTTTTTCCCATTCTTCATTGCAGACGGAGACCGAGGGATCGATCCATCATGGCGGTGGCCAGTACAGACCAGGACGCTCAAGCAAGTACTACCGTCACCAGGCCCAGTCGGGGTTGGGAGCTCAGTGTGGGCGCGCTGTCTCTTGGCAGCAGCGGAGTTGCTTTGAAGCCCCAGTTTAAATTCGGGGCCCAGATTGGTAACTTCACAGCCGAGGCAGGCCTCCATGACTTGCGCGATGGTCTGAAGATCTCGGCGGAGGTGGAGGCGGCGATGGCGGTAGAAGCATCTGGCATGTCAATGCAAGAAGTGCATGACTCCATCCAGTGCGACACACCAGGATTCCGGGAAGCTTTAGATGCAGCAAAAGTTTTCATGAGCAACACGACAGAGAAATTTGCGGGCATCGCGCGGTCCATTGGCATCAGCAAGGAGAGGTTGGAGAGCGCACTGGATGGAAAGTGCATTGGCAAAAAGTGCACGCCGATGACCCTCAGAGTGCAAGCGGAGATAGGGGCCGGATTCTCGGCCCACGTGTGCCTGGGATGGAAGGACACCCAGGGGTTCAACATGGTGGGGGTTGGTGGTAAGGCTTCGGCCGCAGTTTCGCTGAGTGTCAGTGCCTTCGCTGGCAGACATTCTAAGAACAAGGCCGCCAGGATCTTGCTGGGCATCACGAACTTCAAGTTCCAGTACACGTTCCCCATCGGGTCCCTCGAAAGCCAGTGCCCCGACTGCAGAGGCGCAGGGACAGTGAAGGGCTCTGGCTTCATGGGAGTCGGCAAGCAGCAGTGCCCCACATGCGGTGGCCTCGGCGAGATCGCAGTCGGCCCTGAGCCCGGCCAGGTCGCGTCCGACTCGGATGCCGAAGAGAAGACCGAAGGCGCCGTCATCGACGACCCGCCCCCTGCTCTTGTGGAAGCGCAAGGCGCTTGTGGCCGATAGTCGCGTTAGAACGCGCGCGACGGTGGTTGAACTAAATTCTTCACGCTTCGCGTATCCCGGCCTTTTTGCATGTTGCCGCCAGACCGTTGTCGCGCGGCCGCCGACCAAAAGTATCCCAGCCAGCTCATCCAGACACGATGCCCCTCTGATGCTTCCTTGGGCCTCTTGGGGTGTCTCTTGGAGGCCTCGCGGAGGTTTGTTGGGGCGTATTGGGGGCCTCTTCGTGGCTCTTCTGGGGGCCTCTTGAGCGTCTTGGTCTCTTGAGATGTTCCGGCCGTCTTGGGACCATCTTGGAGGCCATCGAGTAAAACGCGCTGACCGCTCGCGAGTGCCCCCTTCCAAACTCAGGGGTAGGGGGTAGGGGGATGGGTAGCTTCCTCTCCGGAGGGGAAGAAGTGGGGATGATGAAAGTGCAAACGCCCTAGACCACCTCGACCCAGAGGGCTGTTGGGATTCCCCGAAGTCTTGACTGGACGGCTCGATGAGCACAGAAGTACCCAAGTGAAAGGCTGTCTTGGGGCTCCGTTTTGGTCTTGGGCCGTCCTAGGGCCCTCTATGAGAGCTTTTGGGCCAATCCGTCACCGTGTCTGGGTTGGTTCGAAGGCGCAGTGGGAATCGTCGAAACGCGCGAAGCATTCCAAACAGTGTTCTTGCAGATTCTGGTGGCCTCTGCGGGGAGGCCTCTTCGGGACATCTTGGTGGACTCTTGGGAAACTCTTGGGGGCCGCTGCGTGGCCTCTTGGGGGTCTTGAGTTTTTCTGCCGTAAATTGCTTTAATGGGGCCTTTGGCGGATCCCCTTTCAGGGCCCTTTTCGGGGCTTCTCTTCTAGAGCCACCTTGGGACCATCAGGAGGACTCTGAGGCCCATCTGGCAAGGGCCCGACATGGCTCCAGTCAGAGCCCTCAAGAGCAAGAGCCCGGGTTCAATTCCTTAATGCGAGCTTCAGGTTTTTGTTTGATCTTACTCTGGTTTGGTTCGACCTCACGGGTGTCCAAGACGGTCCAAATCTCACACAAGATGGCCCCCAGAGTTCCCAAACGGCCCCCACGACGACCCCATGGTTCTCAATGCGGCCCCGAATGCCCCGAAGATGTACCCAAGACAGGCCACATGGGCACAATCATCATTGTTGGACGCTTGACAGGTATCCCAGCAAGCGGCTCGCGCGACCTCAACGGAAAGCCACCCAGAGTCTCCAGAAATGAAGGGCCGGCGGCCTTGAATAATCCTCCCGAGCCGCTGGTCCGAACGGCCGTAAATGGCATGAGGGCGCTCCACGTGCCAGGAGCACGTTGGCGGATAGGCTCGTGATGCTGGCGCAAGCCAGGGCGATGTGTGGCAGTGGCGTAGGGGTGCCAGAAGCGCACGCCTCGCACTCCTGCACGCCGTGCTGCACGAGGCAGCTGCCGGCGGGGGCGTCGGGCCTCGGCGGCGGAAGGCCTGCGGCAGAGCCGGGCCCTCGCAGCGGAGAGGGCCCCTGCGGCATGCTCTGGCGGTGCCTGCCGCATGGTGGAGCGCGGGCCTGCCGACGGAGCACGCGGGCCACATGCCCTCGAGGACCACACGCCGGCCACGGAGGGCGGGGAGTGTGCCGCCGGTGCTGCCGAGCTGCGGCCGCCCTGGACGGTGGCTCCAGCACGTCTCCGAGCACCGAGTGCTCAGAGGCGACGATGGGGGCGAATGGCCCAGGGGAGAGCAACACACGTATCCAGGTGCGCCGATGATCTCTACGTCTTCGAAAAGGCTCCCGGGGGAATCGTGGAATGCCCGCCCCTGGGCTATCCGCCCCTATCGTCGCCGCCGAAGTGCGCGCTACAGGCAAGCAGACTCGTGAGGGCGAGTAACTGTCCAAAGGGATCACCTCGTCCTTGCCTTCGGCCATCCCTCGGCCATTTTCTCGCCGGCGCGATTGCCGCTCAGAGGGCTTCAGCCTGGGAGTTTACAGGCGTTTCCGTCTTTACCGCCAGTCTGTTGGATTCGGGGGCGAAGTGCATGTGTAAGCATAAACTTTCGGAGCGTCGCGTGGATTTCTGTAGTCGGCGTTGCGCACCCCCTCCATCGCGCGCGGAGCGCGCCAGAGACGACTCTGGAGGTGCCGCCAGGGGGGCCTGGCGCAGATCCAAGACATTCACGTGGATCCCTGAAGTTTACAGTGATGCTGTTTTTGATGTTGGTTCCATTGCCGCGGACCCCCGTGATCTTCGCATCTTCGGCCCATCCTTCGCCAAAGTCGCTGGCCGCTCGCTCGAAACTGCTCCAATCTGGGCGTCCGAGGTGCTTTTTGCATCTCTTCGGGCATTGAGAGAGCGCCGGCGCAGACAAGTCGACTGAGGAAATCTGCACCATTTCACTCAACAGTGGTATTTGAGTGTGCCAGTGCAGTCCCCAGTCGGTTTCGCTACAAATCGACGCGCGTCTCGCTGGATACATTCGGTTGTTTTTGCGCGTCGATTAGCTATCCCGCTGGGGTCCACTCGGAATGCGGTTCCTTGCGCACATGGAGTGCCCCTGGCAGTTTTCACTGAAGGGCGTTTTGCTATAGGGCGTTTGGTCAATCTTCGACATTCGAGGGGAAAGCACGGTGGGCACGACCAAGATGCCACCTGATCTTGTCGACGCCGATCTTGGCCGTGGTTCATGACAGCCGTGGCCGATTCGCAAGGCTGATCCACGGATGGGCGATCACCAAGATGGACGATGACCAAGATCGGCACCGGCGCGCCCGCGCTCGGTTTCGTTAAGCTTCCGTCTTTGCTGCGAGTCCCCGTGATCGCGTCGCGCTGCACACGCCTGCCTCGCCCGCTGCTCGGTGCGGGGGCCAGCCGCTCCGCCGTGGCGTGCCGCTGCGCCGCCGCTCGGCCGAGCGCGGCGCGCTCTCGGCCGATGGGGTCACCGCGCGGCGCGCGGAGCGAAGAAACCCAGGATACCCTGACGAGGAGCGGATGGCTTCTTGCCGCGCGCCCCCACCGTGCCCCCCTCCCCAGTCCTGCTCCTCCTCCTTGTTTTCCTCCTGCCGCTCCGCCGCGGCCTGCCGCCGTGCCCCCCCGCGGCTGCGGCCTGCCTCGCTCGGCCGAGCGCGGCGTGCTCTTCGGCCGAGCGGGGGCGGAGCGGGGCGGCGGGGGCGAGGCGTCGGAAGCGGGCTCGCGCGAGGAAGGGCCAGCTCGGGGAGAGGGGTCGGGGATGCGGTGGGCCCCGCCCTGAAAAAAAAATTGGCACCGCGTGTCTGGGGCAGGGGAGGGTGTTGGTCATGCTCCTCCCCTCTCTTCACGCTCCTGCTTCGCCTCCTCCTGCTCCTCCTCCTCCTCCTTCTCCTCCTCCTCCTCCTCCTCCTCCTCCTCCTCCTCCTCCTCCCTTCTCCTCCTCCTTCCTCCTCCTCCTCCTCCTCCTCCTCCTCCTCTCCTCCGCTCCTCCTCCTCCTCCTCCTGATCCTCCCTCCTTCTCCTCCTCCTCCTCCTTCTTCCTCCTCATGCTCCTCATGCTCCTCCTCCTCTTCCGCCTCCTCCTCCGCCTCCTCCTCCTCTGAGTCTCATCCTCTGTGTCCTCATTCACTTCCTCCTGGTCGTGTCGGTCGCCGGTCGGTCGGAAACGAAGGGCAGAACGATCGAACCCCCCAAAATCTTCTTGGCCCTCGTACTTGTCCTCCTCCTCCTACTCCTGTTCCTCCTCCTCCTCCTCCTCCTCCTCCTCCTCCCACACTCCTCCAGGAGGAGGGGAGGGGCAGGGTAAACATGGCAGAGGCCGCCACGACAAAAGAGCGCGGTCACGGGAGTGTATCTGTATATTGGTTCCACTTGTACACACTATGAGTACTAATATTCTCTCTTCCCTCTCTGCCCGTGGGTATTGGGCCCTTTTCCGCGTTTTATTTTCACACATCGGATTCCAAACGGTGATGTTTCCAATGTGTTTGTGCACTCCGATGGTTTTCGTTTTTTCCAGTATGGTGTTCTCGCTGAGGCGTGGGCTTCATTCTCGGATCGGCGCGTTGCTCCCGTCGTTCAGATGACGCTCTCGCCCCCAGCGTGTAGCCACGTTTCTTTATCCCGCAGGCCCCGCAGGTCTCGCATGTCTCGCAGGACCCAGAGGTCGCACAGGTCCCACAGGCTTCACATAACTCACAAGTGTCGCAGGTCGTAGCAGGCCCCACAGGCACCACTGTTCCGAAAGGTCTCGAAGGTCCCACGGGTTCCACGGGTGTCGCTGGCCCTGCAGGTCATTCGGAGGTCCAGCAGGTCCCACAGGCCTCGCCTGCACCACAGGTCCCACAGCTTTCGCAGGTCACGGAGGACGCAGTGTGCCCACAGGTCCCACAGGCGTCGCGCGCCTCACAGCCCCTCGAGGCCACAGAGGCCTCCCAGGTCGCACGGGTCCCAAAGTCCCGCAGGTCCCTCAGGTCCACGGGTCCCACCTGCCCCACAGATCCCACAGGTCCCGCAGGTCTTACAGTCTTACAGGTCCCACAGGCCAGGGAAATCCCGCAGGTTCCACAGGCCCCACGGACCGCACAAGTCCCACAGTTCCCACCTGCCCAACAGACACCACAGGTCACCTCTGCTGGTAGTAGGGTCCTTTGCCGAGGTAACGGAGTTCCAGGGCGGCTGGGAAACGCGTCCGCGGATCGAGGGAAAACAGCGCATTGGGAAGGGACGGGAGGGAGAGATAGGATGTCAGATGTGGCGCGAGCGCGCCTCGTTTGATACGAATGCTGCTCCTTACCTCTCTCTCAGCCTCTCTTTTTTTTTTCTCTCTCTCTCTCTCTCTCTCTCTCTCTCAGTCTCTCACGAAGATGCCGAGGGGGTCGACCGCACCGCTCCGCGTCTGGTTTTGTACACAGGCTGTTTGTCGCCGGGTTGCTGTTTGTTTTCCAATGGTTTTCCTAACATGAGCGCCGCCTGCCCCTGCAACATGGTGTTCCTGCTGCAGCGTGGGGGTCGTTTTCGGATCGCGGCCCTGCTCCCGTGGATCAACGTGGCGCTCTCGCCCCAGCGCGGGCCACTTTTCTTCTGGCATCTTTTGGACGTGTGCATTTTTTCTCGGCGAGAACCATCGAGGACCATCGTGGTCCATCGAGCAAAAAAACACACACACGCACGAAACCGAAACATGCACGGGGGAATGGACGTCCGAGCGACGGCAAGTCATCGCTGTCGCCCCCCTCCTTTCCCCTCTTCCGCCTTCCCCTGGTCTTCCTGCCTCTCCCGCCTCCCGCTCCTTCCACTCCAGCTCCCGCTGCTACTGTTCGTCCTTGTCCTCCTTCCTCCTCCTCCTCCTCCTCCTCCTGGGCATCCTCCTCCTCCTCCTGTGCATCCTGCTGCTCATCTGACGCCTCATCCTCCTCCTCCTCCTCCGCGATGCCTGGTCACGGCCCAGCCCAGCATGGGCGGGGCATCCCCAGCGGCGGTGGTAAAGAAGGGCCCCAGAGTCGCCACAGCACGGCGAAGAGCCCACCGGGCCATGCACGAAGGGCCGCGCCTGGGGCCGGTGAGCGCTGGCGGCCCGCGAGCGGAGGGCCTCTCTGCTGCCCTCCTGCCCCAGACGTCCGTCTTGCGCCTGAGGAGCCTGCGCGGCGGCACCCAGAAGATCGGCCACCTGGGGCTCGGGGAGGGCCTCCACTCCCTCTGCATGGCTCGGACGCGTGAATGTGTTCCCCGGCGAGGACCATCGAGGAGCATCCTGGATCATCTGGGGAAACATGCACCCACGATGCCGAAAAGTACACGGGGAATAGACGTCCCAGCAATTGCAAGCTCCACGAGCCAGGGTCTTGCCAGTGACCCTGAGCGCAAGCCTGTCGGAGACCCGCACCGCGGCACGCTTGGCCTTCTCTGTCAGTCGGCGAGGCCCCCGACGCGGCAGGTCGGGCACCACATCCCCATCACTGCGCAGCGCAAGTGGCCCCCTTCGAATCCCCAGCCCAGCCTGCGGGCGGGCAGAGGGGCACCGTCCGCGGGCGCGCGCTCCGTGCGCCGGGGGTGCTGGCCGAGGCTGACGCGCTGGACAGCGGCGGCCACGGTGACCTCCAGCATGTGGCGCTGCACATGCTGCTCCCCGACTGCCGTCGCGCCTATCAGCGCATCCACGGAATGCAGCACCGGCGGGTGGAGCATGCAGCCGCAGGTTTAGCGAGCAGCCATTGAGCAGCCGCCCCGCCGCCGCTGTAGCCTCGATCCCGCGGCCGTGCAGGGGCCCGTCCGCCAGGCCTGCAGCGGCAGCGCCCCGCAGCGCCGAGCGAGGACCCCCCCAAAGCGCTGCAGCATGCCTGCGTCGCCCAAGCCTTCGCGCCACGGCGGGCCTCCTCATCTCGGGCCGCCGGCTTGGCGACCGGACGCAGGGTGCAGAGGGTGTGGTCGGTGCCCAGCGCCTTCAACGACCCCTGGAGCCTCTTGTTCTAAGGCTGCGTCGGAGGCGAGGTACCTGCCCTTGCCAGGGGGCGAGCGGCAGCTCCAGCTCGGCAAAGTCGCGCAGCAGGATGTCCACGCAGGCGGTGGCCCGCGTCACCACCAGGCGGTGGGTGCCCGTCACGTTCACCAGGATTTCACTTGCAGTTGGACCGAGGTATAAGATCGAGATCGGTTCGGGGAGGGTGCCCTAACGTTCTTCGTGTTTGTTGGATGTTCTTGTGCATCCTGGGGGACCGGGAGGAGGAGAGAAGCGTTCGTCCAGCTCTAGCCGTCTGCGAGGTCGCTTCTTATCTGTATTTGGTTTCGGTTCAGATCCTGACGAGATCATGGAGCGAGGCGGCGAGGTTACACAATCCGCAGCGGGTCAAAGGGAATTGACCACAGTTTCGATTGTTGAGCTTTCCCCAAGAGAGGCCTTCAATGCTTTCAACAA